TTATTTAAAAATCAATGTGGTCCCACGGCCCTCTGTGGCCCAAAGTTAAAAACTGTTGTTCTTTTGAGGCCCTGAAGGTGGTGCTCACGGCCCAATTGTGGGCCGCGGCCCCCATAGGTTAAGAATTTCTGTCCTACAGGACAGAAATAAAAAACAACCTGAGACTCCTCCTCACTTTTTGTCTTTGTGTAGTGTCTAGAGAAAAAGAATGGCAGCATCACAAAGTGGTAAATATGTTATGGTCCCGGTAATTTGGGGAATGTTTTGTAGGTCAAAACTGCAGAAATGGATCGAAGATTTGACAAATAAATTTATCTAACCAAACACGTATCCAACTATCTTTTACAACTTATCTATAGTCGGGTCTCAGAGGCCAGAGTCCAGGAGAGAAACCCGTCCCAACTCATCCTGGGGGACCCCGAAGTATATCAAGGCCAGAGAGAATATAATCTCCCGCAACATCTGGGTCTTCTCTGGGGATTCTTACAAGTGGGACAAGCTTGGAACACCTCTAAAGAGAGGCCTCCAGGAGGCATCCAGATCAGAAACCCAAACCATGACTCCTGTCAATGCAGAGCAGCAGAGGCTCTACTTCAAGCTCCCCCCAGATGACGTAACACCCTTTTTCTAAGGCTGAGCCCAGCCACGTTACAAAGAGTGCTTATATTAGCTGCGTGATCCCATTCTTCTGTTCATGACCCATACCTCACAGCTGGAACGTAGAGCAGTAAATCGAGGACTTCGCCGATCGACTCAGCTCTTTCTTCATCATGATCAACCACAGTAAAGACATTACCAGTGAGGATTATTTATGTTTGGAACAAAGCAACAAGCTGGAAATTAATGGTACGTTCACACCAAACGTGTTTTGCGCTGAAGGAGCAGCCAGTTTACATGTAAAGTCTATGGTGGATGCGCCTCTAGGGGTCTCGGTCAGGTCCATTTAGCGCGGCGCACAAGGAACGCGGAAGGTGCGGCAGAGTATTTTCTGCACATGCGGTGCGGCGAAAGCAGCCGACGCCCGAGTTCAAAAATTTTATCTTTCGCTGCTCGACATGTCTTACAACCAATCAGAGAGACTCATTTTTCCACGTGATAGTGTTGAGGATTGTAGCAGTACTTGTTAGGAGCTGGGACAAAAGGTCAGAATAAGGGTTGTATAAACATCTGGTAAGAACATTCTGTAAAAGGTGAGGTCATCAAACAGTCTACAAATAGATTTAATAAGTGTGTATTGGGTGGTCTTAAATTTCCAGCCCAATTCTTGGAAGTGACCACCCTTCCTGGTTACGTAGAATTTGTGTTATGAAAACAGTTTGGGTATAAAAGGGTCTGGTTTTTAAATACGTCAGTTCATTTGGAATGTTTTCTGTCGGTTGTATCGATCTGCTGAACTCAATAAAACTCCCCCTTCGGCTGGCCAAAAGCGACGTCTCCTCATCTTTATTTCAACTTGATAACAATCTGCTTCTTCATTTGGCGCCCAACGTGGGGCACGAACCCACGACCCTGAGATTAAGAGTCACATGCTCTACCGACTGAGCTAGCCGAAAGCCATATTTTACATATGAAGAAGCAGATTGTTCTCTGTTATCAAGTTGAAATAAAGATAAGGAGACGTCGCTTTTGGCCAGCCGAAGAGGGAGTTTTATTGAGTTCAGCAGATCGATTCAACCGGCAGAAAACATCCAAACTGAACTGATGTATTTAGAAACCAGACCCTTTTATACCCAAACTGTTTTCATAACACAAATTCTACGTAACCAGGAAGATTGGTCACTTCCACGAATTGGGCTGGAAATTTAAGACCACCCAATAC